TATATACATATATATATATATATATATATATATATTAAGACACAGTCGCGTATATATTATAATTACAAATCCATGCGTATATTACTTTATTAACTATTACAATTGTTATATGTAAAAGAAAAAGCATAAGCTGTGATAATGATTAAACGTCTTATTGTAAAAAATTTCAATTTATTAGATTTGAATTAATCGTCGGTTGGATGTTCGCTGTACATTTGATTATTATATTTTGTAATTTGTAGAAACGAGAAACGATTGTTCAATCTTATGGCAAAATAATCCACAGAAATAAATACAATAATTATATCGTTTTCTTCCTAAAAAATTAATTTATTCTTTAAATTTAAATTTTTAGCGTATAATCTTTCTTATGTTTTATTATATGTAACTAACTCTTGATTCAATCGGTATTCCTCAATGTTTTTATTCGTCTTTTATAATAATCCTTTCGATGATCGATATTTGAAAAATTTTCTTCTATTTTCATTATAATATATTAATAATATACAATTGAAACGTAATTTTTATATTATAATTAATGATGTAAGCTGTGGTATTATTATTATTTACTCTGTCGATTATTCAATAAATAATAATTTAGCCATTGAAATAAGAAGCAAGTGTCGTGTATTCGTCTTATTTATTTAAGATTGTACAAGTTCATTATAATGACAACTATTCATAAAATTATTATCAGAATTTTATATAATGATTATTAAATATATGACATTAGTGCAAATACTTTATCATATTTGTCCAGTGATAAACGACATTAAAGTGATCTGATTGCTCAATATTATTATGTATGTTTTTGAATTATAGTTAAATTACATTGTTACTGATTAGAGCCGTTTTATTTAAAGAAAGGATGAACCATTTTTTTATCATGAAAGTCCTCCACCAAGTAAATAGGTATAATGTTAATCTAGCCTGTTATTCTAATTTGAAGTAGATAAGAAATTTTTTTTAAACTTGGATTATAATATTGTTTTCAAGTTCAAATTAAGAACTTGTTTTCCGCACTTGTACATCTTTTTAAGAAAGTGTAATTACGTATTTATGCGCGTAATTTTGGAAAAATGAAAATTCCTACCTTAACAACCTTTGTTAGGAACGTAGAGCACAAATAATTTTCAACGAATTTAACGTCTTGTGGGCTTCAGTTTATCGGCAGAGACCCACTTGTTTGAAGTTAAGGTAATTTGTCTTTTACGTATTTTATTCTCAGGGCGATGGACGTTTATACCTTATATTATCAGAAATTTTATAGCTGAAATTCTCAAGCATTCAATTCATTTGGTTTACAATTACCGTTCTTCGTTGTTCTTCGCTATAGGATGACGATTAAAGCGTTTATTACTTCATTTAACAACTTGTTTTATTCATCAAATGATTGCCTAAGTAAGATTTATAAGACTAAAATTTATTGAATTTTTAAACTTTAAATTGCTACGAATAAGCCGCTACTATATAAATTGAAAATAGATATTAAAATTCAATTACTTTTCAAGAATTAAAATAAATTTTAAGAATATATTAATCCATTGATCTTATTTTGGTTATAGTAATGCTTTCTCCCATTTTTATTGAAATAAGATTTACAGTGTACGTGATAGGTACGTTGTTTTACAATAATTTTGATTTAATTTTGTGCTTTATGTTTATATTAATAATCATTTTTCTGATTAATTAATCATCGCAATGATGTAAGCTTTAAATTACATCCCATCACATTGAATTTTATTCTTTCAATAGTTTTTCAATTTGATATAAAACTTTTTTTTTTCTACAATTATATCAAGTTTATATAACAATTATATCATATATATTATAGTAATCATTATATAATTTTGTGGTACTGATATCGTCGGCGAAAAATTATGAGTTTTATAAAATATAAAATAATAGTAAAGATAAAAAAAAAAACAAAATAATTTATGATAATTTTTTGCTCAAATTAGTTGTTTAGAATTGTTTTTCATAATATATTTGTTATAATAATTTACTATTACCAATCTATAAATATATATATATATATATATATATATGTATATATTGGATATAAATATAAATATATTTAAAAGACGTTTAAAGAAAGATATTATTTTATGTACAAATACACGCGTAGATATGACTTGTATATATGTTATTGTTATATAAAAATAAAGGATAATTTAGTTTACTTAACTAATAAAGTGAAACGGGCAATTAATTCGTCAAATAGTGACTAATAGAAAATCATAATTGATATTTACAATTCGTTTAAATTAAATTAATAACTTCACTGTGCAATGCCTTGTACGAAATAATATAAAAAAATATTAATTCGTTGTTTAATATGAAGCTTCAACGCATCATTACAAAAGTTTTAATTACGTAAGATTGTTGAGTAATATCTCGTTTCGATAAAATTTTTTGTTTTATTATAGCAATGTATTGTAAAATTGTTGTATATTTTATAATTATAGTTTTGTAATGTCCAAGTTCAATTCTTTTAGGTATCCATCAGTATTCTTTTTGAGATATTTATCTGAATTCCAATATTCCATGTATTTGTATAAATTTATGCATTTGTATCATATGATATATATATATATTAAATTTTTGTATATGAATGCAACAACAGTGGTGTATGCAAAATTAACTACAAGAAACTAATTGAAATGAACCATTTTTTTTTTACTTCCGTAAACAAATGAGAATCAATAATTTTAGTTTATCTTTAGAAACTAATTATTGATGTATATACATTACGATATTTCATACGCAAAATATCATATAAAATTCAATTATTAAAATATTATTTTCATAGTTTTATTGTAATCTATTTGAACCAGCAATATTAGTATTATGTATTCTTTAAAGGCAGTATCGATCGATTAAACTTATAGAATAACAATTTTTTAATTAAAATTTACAAATATTAGTATTAAGGTACTATTCAATGTTAAAATTTTATTTTATTGTTCATTATAAAATATTATATCTCATGAGTATGTTGTAAATTATAAATATAAAATAGAATTATGTTGCATATTATATTTTGTAAATTTTAAGTAAAGCTTAGTAATTTCGTTTTTGTTATTAAAGCTCCTTCGTTTACTAAATCCTAAAAGAAAGAAATAATTAAAAACTCTTTTCTATCAACCTTTTATTTGTATACAATCATCAACATACTTCTCTTATGGTTTACTCAAAAATTAAAACAATCTAAACTGGTGTAATGTAAAATTTGATTTATTTGTGCTGAGTGAAATTCTCCGTCCAATGATATGTTATTATAAAATTGAATTAAATTCACTCCAATCCAATACATCTATTAATTTAAATACATAATATTATTAGGCAGTATTAGACTTCTTCCAAAATTTTCTCCTCTATCAGCTTCACCCTTTCACGCTCAATTCATCGCGCTATTCCCATTATTGTTATCTACGTGCTTTCACTTACGAGAAAAAAAATTAATTCGTGAAGAGAAGCTACTCTGGCGATTAGCAATACAGTTTCCAATTTACAATTTTCGAATAGTTTTACAGCATTAAGAAAATTATTTGTAGGTAATAACGTCTTCATCTCAAACACATTATCAGCATACTGGAATAAGTGATTATACATTATACATTGTAACTTAAGATCTATGTAATTGAAATGTAAATATTGAAATGTAAATGTTATAATTACAAAAGACGATGCTACTTAATAACAACTTCATTCACTATGCAATGCCATAGGTTGCAATAAAACAAATATAAAAATATAAATTATTAATATTGAAATTGTAATGGAAAAGTAAAAATAATACTGTATAATATTTATTTAAGATATAGTATAAAATAAGTATATAAGTATGAAATGTAAGATAAGTATAAAGTGTAGTTGAATCATAAATTGCGATTAAATTCCATTGTATTAGTGCATGTTAAATAACAAAATTTTTAAATAAATCGATATTTATTTTGATAAATTGAAAATGTTTTCTTATAATATAATTTCAAAATTTAATTAACATCACTTAAAAGGAACAAAAGGAGAACGAAGGATTTTTAATTAATAAAAACTGTGGCAATTATCACAATCATAAATATACTTATCATTGTGCAAAGCAATACTTATTTATAGTTATGGATATTACGATTAAAACTTAAAACTTATGATTGATAATGTATTCATTTATAAATTCAGTTAGCATTATTTTCTAAACGATTATTATTAAATGTTAATATTTTACATTAAAATTATACATGCTAAATCGACGTATTCATGAAACATATTTTTCTGACTAATTATATTGATAAATCGATTTTAATAAAAGAAACACAATTGTTGGATAGCATACTGGAATGTATTATTTGAGTAAATGATTTTGAAATTTATTTACTTTTTTTACAGATAAATGTGAACAGTAATTTGTCTAGTAAAATTATACATTAAAATATACACGGTCGTTTATAGAATTAATAATAGTTTATCATTTTATCGTATTATGAATGTAATAATTCTTAAAAGAACAAAGAAAAACAATTAACGAAGTTGGGTTCCATTATTAAATATTTAGCATAAAGTTAGGAATTAAAATTATTTATAATTCACACACGTTATATTATATGAGCATTTAATTAGCCTTTTAATTTTGTAATTAGATCACCTTAAATGTACAAAGTTCAATTTAATAATAATTGAAATAAAGTTGTTTTTTTGTTTGTTGTTGTTTTGTTGTTATAATAAATGTTGTTGTTGTTGTTGTTTTTTTTTAATGTCATTGATGAAACTCCGTATTAATAAAATAAAACTTCAACTTTATGAATTGTTTTAACATTTTTAATATATGTTTTGGATGTAATTTTAAGTTTAAATTTTTACAACAATTGTCGCATCATTTAGGTAAAGCTATTTTTAGTACAAAAACTTTTACGATGTCTCAGTGGTGTCAAAATCTAAGCGGTTGTACAATTTTAAAGGTATCGTAGAGCAAACTAATAATTGAAAATTAAACAGGCATTTGAGCTTAATTTCAAAAAAAAAAAAAAAAAAAAAAAAAAAAAAAAAATTTTGAAAAAAAGAAAAAGCCCCTTAATTTAACTTGTGGTGACATTGCAGTTTCAGGCTATTTGATACTTGTGCTAATCGAACGTCGAAGAAGAAAATCATCAGTGAAATAATACCTTACCTTGAGAAGGTTCTACATTATTATCAAAGTCGATTTATTTTCGTATAAATGATTTTAAACGCGCTTGAATATACAACGAAGACGAATTGAGCTACGGACGCTCGATTGAGGTCACCAAACGGATATCGGTAAAAAAAAATATGGTATCGTTATAAAAGACTGCCGAGTGAAAGTACGCATCGGTTAGATGGAAATATAAGCAATTTGCATAACCGAATATTATTCTTTACGAAAAATGGCAATTATAGTAACTTATCACTACGTGATTCGTCATCGTGCATTTGAAGTGGAATTGCCGCACATAATCGTAATGGCAATGTAACCAGCCAATAACGGCTGACGAATCTAAGTCGAAGAAGGCAAATAACACTCTGTTGGCTGAGAGGATGCGCATTATTTTTGGACTACATGAAATTTGGCACATAAACAATGTTTTTCAAACCAAGGCGATGCTTTGCCCGACTAGCGTCAATGTCAAAAATTGCGCGAATAAGAGTTGAAAATGCCGATTCACCGTAAATACTTATTCATCATATTCAACATCACGAGTGTCGAGATTTCGCCTTTCAATCGTGATCCAATAATCAAAAAATTCACATTTTTTGTTCAAACATTCTCTCAATAACAAATACTTTTAACGCGATGAAAACGATGGATACTCAACGGATCGTTTCTGTAGCTTTACTTGGAATAATCCCTATGGAAATAAAATAAAAGTAAATCGTTGTGTATTTTTGATAAAACAAAACAAAAAATGGCAATTGACTGTTTTCTTCATGGTGGTTGTTAAAACAAGCGTCATATAGATAAAAGAGTTGTTAAGACTTTCAAGTTCTTTGTCATAAGGTTTTAACGACGCTAGGTTTATTTGTCACCACCCGTATCAGTAGAGTAAGACGGCAATGAATCCGGCTAATTGTTAACAGATTGCTAATCCAACTTTATTGCCTCTATATTACTTAACGTAAACACGGCGCTGCTTTAAAAAAAAGAAAAAAGAAAAAAGAAAAAAGAGAAAAAAAGAAGAAAAAAAAAAGAAAGAAAAGTAAATAAATAAATAAAAACATATCTTTTTGCCGTGCATCGAAATTAATGCTCCAAAAACAATTTCGCTACTACTCGTTATCTCCCTACCTCCCTCCCTCCACCAACTCGCTCGTCCACCATCCAGGCAGACCCCACCCCATGAAGCGCGAAAGCCAAAAAATTTCTCTCTCCACCTGTAAACGCACATTCTCCCTATAAAGTCGTCGTGGCGTTTGCCAAGATCATGAAATATCGCTAATACACGCCAGCCTGATAATTAAATTTAAAAGGGCGGACGACGGTGGCGGGTGGAGGTGGGTACGGGGTTAGGGGGGGGGGGAAGAGACGCCGGACTAAAGCATTACGGCACGTACGAGATGGTGCGTTGATAATTTATCAGTGGCCGTCGGCGATGACGGTCACGGGTTCGATAGATCTCGGCAACATGTCTCCATATAAACCGACTGCTTTTCAATAATTTAATCAGTTAGTTAAGCGATCTTCTCTCTTGAATTTTCGTATTAGCTTGACCTCTGCGACTCACACTTGCGGTTGCGCGCCCGTGTACAGGGAGGAGTTACAACGCTCGCCACGCACTTGTTTTACAGCCGAGATAAAGAGAGAGATAGGGGCGCGCACGAGCGTAGAAAAGAGTGAAAAAGTGAGAGAGTGTGTGAGAGAGAGAGAGAGAGAGAGCGAGAGAGCGAGCTGGCATGCGGTAGAGGAGGAGGCGAGGAAGCTTATCGTGGAGCTCGTTTGGAGGTTGGAAGTTGGAATTGTCGGAAGGTTGGAAGTTGGAACGTCGGCAGTGGGATCGGATCCGTCGGAGCAGTAGTGCCACTCGCGAAGCTCGACGTACGACGTGTGTCGCGCGCGCGCGAGACAGAGAGAGTGGGAGATACAGCGCCAAGAAAAGAGAGAGCGTTCGTACGCGTGTGTATCGCGCGTGTGCACCTATACGCGCACCCGATAGCCAAGTAAACGCTCTTGGTGCGCGTATGTGAGAAAGAAAGAGACGCAGAGCGCGCGCTCGCGTACGTGTGCATGGCTGTGTATTATTTTTCGGCTTTTTTGAAATAAGGATACCCGAGCGAAACTGGACGTACGCAGGACAATGATGCAAGAGGAGGTCATATCCAAGGCGGAGGAGGTCGCGGACCAGGTGATCAACAATCTTGTTTATTATATTGCGCGCGGAGCTTTTTATTCCATTCGCGTGTCTGCCGAAATATTCGTGGCGTGATTACTCGGCGATTTTATCCATCCTCTCCTCTGCTTTCTACTTCGTCCTTGTTAACGTCATCGCCACGAACAGCGCCGGATCCCGAGTTTCCCTCCCCCTCTCCTCCTTACCCACCACCCACCACCCACCACCCACCCCACCCGGCACCTCGTAACCTTGGTGGCTATCCCCTAGTGAGCGCACGTGTATTCGACGAGGAGGTCTAAGCTCCTTTGTACAATTTCACCGAATGCCCTTCGACTCGCCCTCGTATCGCGGAGGCTATCGCTCGCGTCCGTTTTCGATAACCTGCGGAGACTCGGCACCTTGAGCTCGGGAATACGATGCTTTGGCGTAACCATATGCCCGGCCTTGGAATTCGGATTATTAGCGGAAACTCGCGAGGAATGCCTACGTATGAGAGTCAATTAAATTTTAATGACATTGGCTGGCATTTTCCTGGCGCGTATTTATTTCTTTTTTTTCCGGTCTTGTTTGATCGTTCGAACAAGATGTTCGATATTATAATGTTCTTGTTACAACGGAAACGTGGCATTATCGAATTACTGTGCATGTTCACTCACTTTCACAGACCTACTTTTCTTTTTTCCCCAACTTGTTTCTTCCTTACTCTCTCTCTCTCTCTCCCTCATTCTCTCTCTATCGCTCTCGTTCTCTCTCTCTCTCTCTCTCTCTCTCTCTCTCGCTATACATCTTTCTTTTTTTGTCTTTTTTTTCCTTTTTTTTCCACGAATATATAGGACACGACGGTTGCAAAGGCGGCACTTTTCTCTGTCACCAATCTCCCTCTTGCGCTTCTGGCTTTTGTATCTGTTACTGTAATTATCGTTGTCGAATCGCTAACTTGTTATTATGGCATTTTTAGGTAATTAGAAATGGAAAGCAAGTACTTCCAACGTTGGCTCGTCTCTGCCTCATCGCTACATTCTTGGAGGATGGCCTACGAATGTGGTTCCATTGGAACGAGCAACGAGAGTATATGGACATGTCATGGGGATGTGGAAAGTTCTTGGCGACGATGTTCGTTCTTATAAATTTGATAGGCCAACTTGGCGGCTGTGTGGCCGTAATAGGAAGGTGGAGAGTCAGCATCGCTTGTGGAGTACTTTTCTTCATTGTGATTCTACAAACGTTTGCTTACAGCATTCTGTGGGATTTGCAATTTTTGTTCCGAAATTTAGCTCTCATCGGTGCCCTTTTATTAGTACTGGCCGAGTCTAAAGCGGAAGGAAGGTCTTTATTCGCCGGTGTACCTTCGCTCGGCGATAATAAGCCAAAAAATCTATTGCAACTAGCCGGAAGAGTACTTTTAGCATTTATGTTTATAACTCTGATCAGATTTGAATGGTCGTTCTTTCAAATTATTCAAGACGTTCTTGGAGGAACATTGATGGTTTTGGTGACTATAGGATACAAGACCAAATTAAGTTCTTTACTGTTGGTAGTCATTTTAACAGCCCTCAACTTCTACCATAACGCATGGTGGACTATCCCGCACTACAAGCCTCTCAGAGATTTTCTTAAATATGATTTCTTCCAAGTAAGTACAATGAAGATCTAGCGACTTATTATCCGAAATTATCGATTTATTTAGCGAATATGTGAAAAAATTTTCTTTTATAAAATTAAGCGCTTCTTGATGAAAAGTTTAGAATAATAATTACTACAGTTAACATATTTCATTTCTTTCGAGCTTATAAATTCGAAAACGCAAACTCTCTGTAATCTTGATCGACGCTGATTTTTTATTAATAAATATATCGATGCATAAATTTTTTTGATTTGCTTAACTTTTTACTAATAAGAATTGCATTCTTAATAAGAGTCTTTGAGGCTGTCTAAGTACAAGTAGCGTTCAATCTCGTTTCAATATAATGAATTTGACGCAATTATTTACTTTCAGACTCTTTCCGTAATCGGTGGATTACTGATGATTGTATCGCTCGGACCAGGTGGTGTCTCAATGGACGAACATAAGAAAAAGTGGTAGAATTAACATGCTTATGGAAATTAGCAAATTTTCATTCCTCCGCTTTTTACGAGCTCAACTGTCCATCAAACTGTTTGAAATGATAAAATATGAGAAAAAGTGTGCAAAACAAAAGGTAAATGTCTTCTATAACGGAGGTTCAAGTTGTCCAAGGGAATTGCTCTTCTTATTTACTATGATCCAAGGCACTTTGTAAAGTTTGAAGTTATATCATCCGGAGACTACGATAAGATGCCTTAAAACATTAAGAAGAACAACAGACAAAGACTAATTTATAATATAATACAAATAATAGCTTGTACATATAGAACATTTGTCATAAACAGTGAATTCTTTTGGCGCATTTAAAATTTTTATTCCTTGTTTTTGAGCTATCGATCATTTTAAGATCATTGCTCATTTTATGAATGTTGTAGGAGATATTTTATTTTGAACTAAAAATCTTCCATTAAATGGTAATACATTGCTGCACTAATGTATTATTTTTGTTATGTTTGTATGCTACGTATCCTGCTGACTAAAAGTCGATTTTCGAGTCGTTGTAAATAAATTTTCAATCTCTTCAGACAGGATCTTATTAACACGTGCAGCTTGGTGAACGGTCCTATATTACTTCTAATAAGAATAATTTTCTAAAAATAAACCTTGACTAAAATAGTTTGCATATACATACAGTCGATTGCCTGCTCCCCATAAGTGACAAGTTTTCAAAATTATGAAAATTAAAATTTGTTAAAGAATGCTAAGTAAATACTTGATGAAGCAACGATTACGTTAGATGGGAATAAATTTAATTTCATTGTTCATAAAGCAGCAACGATTTTCAAAACATAAACCTTTAGCTAATGCATTCACAATCGCTGCGATCATTGTTTCAAAGGAAAAAAGAAAAAAAAAGTAAATGACACCGATCTTCAAAATATTGATTTTTATGATGAAACCTTAAAAAAATTTTTTTTTTATAAATATAAGTTTGTACTGTTATTATCAAAAATACAAATTTTTTAATATACATTCTTCGGTAGTTTACCTTTATTAAATATTCAATGTGCTTAATATCCTCAGTCCAGCTTATCCCGATAAATTACCTTTAAATTTTATTGGTCATTGAACGATTAATATAGTAAAGTGAGTGAGTGTGCGTGCGTGCACGCGCGCGCATACCATACCGCATCAAAAACGAAATTTATATAGGTTATCACGTGTATTCCTTATTCGCCCATACTTTCGACACTGGGAGACTCTTACTTTTTTTTTTTTTTTTTTTTTTTTTCTTCGATACCGCTTACAAATTCTGAATAGCGAGGTAATGCAGATTAAAAGAGGAGACATTATTTTACGTTCTAAACCATTTGCCTATGTTTTAAGCTCCAAATACAAGGATAACCGTTGCAATTGTTGTTTTAAGTGGTAATGTAATTTATATAAATTTTTAGCATGTAAATTTAATGCATTTTGTAATAAATGTTTGGATAACTAAATAAATAATTGATTTAGTGGAAAACTTCAGAAATGCTCAGGCTGCCAATATGTTTATTATTGTGACCGTTCTTGTCAAAGAGAATCATGGAATATCCACAAGTACGAATGTGCGAATTTAAAAAAAATTTTACCACGAATTGTGCCGGATGCCGTACTATTAGTAGCCCGAGTCATATTAACACTTCAAGTGGGTGAAAAGAAGAAAGAATGTTATGCGGATGATTTGTATAGGGGATATAATGATTTGATGTCCCGTATGTTTACGATTATATATTTTCATTAGAAAATAAATCGACAGGATGGTATAATTAATGGAAATTTATTGCTCATTCTAGATTTGACGAATATCGAAAAGGATTATGAGAGAGTCGAACATTGTATTACTATTCATAATGTTTTAGATGACTTTATGAGCGGAGAACGGAAATTAAATTTGCAAGAAATTTTAGAAATTTATGGAAAAATTTGCGTTAATTCGTATAATATATTGGATGCTGAAATGCAAAGTATCGGTGTCGGTATTTATTTAGCTCCTTCTGTAATAGATCACAATTGTAAACCAAATGCGGTCGCTGCGTTTGAGGGCCCGATTATCATAATCAGGGCTCTGGAAGATATTTCAACTAGAGATTGGTCAAAAGTATTACAAGTTTTATTGCATTAATTATGTATTAATACGGTATTAATACAACATTTATAATTCTAAAATTATATTCGTGCAGATACATATTTCATATATTGATATATTAAATACCACGATCGATAGGCGTACGGAACTTCAAAAGACCTATTACTTTCTGTGCGAATGCGAAAGATGTAACGAGCCTGAAATGTTTGCGACGGCGGCAATTTGTTCTTACTGTAAGGATAAATGTAACATTGAGGAGGATACTTGTCGAGTCTGCGATAAAGAAATTTCTCATGCTTTTAAAGAAAAATTCAACAAAGTTAGTGATTTCACTAGGCATCAGCTGGAATCCATGAAGAATGTAGTTGGTATACTTTTTAAATTAAATTAAACCAATGAAATAACTACAATCGTTGAAATTTCATTGACAAAAATTTATAGATCTTGAGATTAATAAAACATGCTTGAAAGAACAAACGGACATATTTCATCCTTTGAATATTCTGCATATTCGAACTATGGAATCGACCTTAGACGTTGCCATTGAATCAGGCCACTGGCAAGAAGCTTCTCTTTTTGGTATTAAACTATTGCCAGGATATTTGTAATTATTCGTTATTATAATATTAATTTATATTAACAATTTGATAATTAATAATATGATTATAATACATTTTAGATATTATTATGGAGAGTTCCATCCGCTTACTGGCTTATTGTATTTTAAGATAGGAAAAATACAATTGTATTTGGGGCAGGAGGAAGCAGCTTTAAAAATGCTAATGGAAGCTTATAAAATTCTTAAAGTTACGCATGGAGACGAACACTCCCTGATCAACGAACAATTAAAGCCACTTATTTGTCAAGCTTGCGAAGAGCCAGCAGTGAGAAACGCTTAATGTACATAATATCCAAATGTAAATTAATCCTCGATCGACCTTAGATTGACCCTAATTGTAAAAATACTTTTATAATATTATAAATAAAATACTTTAAAAGTAACTTTGGCTTTAAGTTATTTATAAATTTAATAACAACAGTAATTAAAAGAGTCATTTTTTTCTTCTTTTTTTTTTTTTTTTATACAAAAAAATTTGCTTACTAAAATAAAATATCGTTTTGTTAATATTGAAAGAAGGATTTTTACGGAATAGTTTAAATTTGCCGGGTTACTGTAAGGCGAATCTTATGCTCTTTAATTCCAAAAATAAATATATACACACGTGCCAAAGTGTGGCTGCCTGCACACATTCCAACTCCCCTTCGTGCACAAACACAAATTAACATCACGGACACATGCGACGTATATATGCATATTCGTAAGTTAGGCATAAAGAATAAGATGCCAGCTGGTTTCCTATCAACTGTCAGACCTCAATTTAATTCGTCTAATATGACAGAACCTTTGTCGTTATTTGTCGTGAAATGTTGATTATTGTTTGTTACGAAGTTTTCTTCGAATAAATTCTTAATATGTAAATTTATATATTTATCTAGATATTCATAGTAGTTCTGTAATAAATGAAATCCATCGTTAGTTATCACTCATCATTATTTTAATTGGATGCACTTTGGTTATTCTCATTGAGTGTCTGTTTTATAATTGTTTTAAATAAAAATTGATAAAAACATAATTTATTAAGTAAGAGAATCCAAAATGTTTTCCGCTTTCAAGAGATTAGCTGGTAAGTCTGAGGGGGTGGCTTGTTCATCCCCAAGACCAGCGCATCAATTAATGCCAACAAATTTGCAGAGAAAGTTCGCCAAAGGCGTTCAATATAATAGTAAGAATATCATTATAGTATTGTTTAACTATTCAACTCTTGTTTATAATTACAACTATTCTTTGTATTTACAGTGAAAATTATAATAAAAGGAGACAGGAACGTTGGTAAAACTTGCTTGTTTTATAGATTGCAAGGTCAAAAGTTTATTGAAGAGTACATACCGACGGAAGAAATTCAAGTTGCCAGTATTCAGTGGAATTACAAAGCCACCGATGACATTGTTAAAGTTGAAGTTTGGGATGTTGTAGATCGAGGTAGACGGCGAAAAAAAATGGAAGGCTTGAAAATGGACAATATTATTTCTCCTGAGAATATTATCGAAGAGCCAACCTTAGATGCAGAATTCTTAGACGTCTATAAAGGTACAAACGGAGTGATAATTATGCTAGATATTACAAAACAGTGGACATTCGATTATGTACAACGAGAGCTTCCTAAAGTACCCAGTCATATACCAGTCATTGTTTTGGGTAATCATTGTGATATGGCCCATCATAGAACTGTAACTACAGATCACGTTACTTACTTTATCGAGTCCATCGAAAATAGGACTGCACAAGTAAGATACTCTGAGGCTTCAATGAGAAATGGATTTGGATTAAAACTTTTACATAAGTTTTTTAATTTACCATTTCTACAATTACAAAGGGAGACTCTTTTACAGCAATTGGAAACTAATAAGGAAGAGACGTTTTTAACTATTCAAGAGTTGGATCTGTTTCAAGACAGCGACGATGCAGATTATAATAAATTCTTAGACAATTTGGTAAATAAACGAAGGGCCATTGCTGATTCAGCTTCTGCGACCGCTTTAGTCCCAAATGTTACATCGTCTTTAAGTCCTCATGGTAACATTAGCAATTTAGGTACGCCATCTGGCAAAATATTTGGTCCAATCGGAGGTGGAACACCAATACCCATTAAAAATATGGATTCAAAATCATTTGTTAAAAAAGAGACAAAGACACAAGGAATAAGTAGCGATAATAAAATGCAGCTGTCAAAGTTACAAAACAGTATCAGTGCACCAGAATATTTGAATATCAAAGCATCTTCTAACATTAATATTGATAAAAAAGAGCCAATCGCCAAGCCACAGTATTTCAGATCAAAGTCAGTAGTTACGAGTAAAAAGGACAGTACTGAAAAAGAGAAATCAGTCGAAGATTCACAAATCTATACATCTGTACCAATTACAAGCGTAGAAGATTTTGTACCAGATGATAATTATCTTGACAAATCATTTTTAGAAGACAATAGTCAATCAAATTCTCAAGCGAGTCAGAGAAAGCAACTTGATTCCGATAGGTTTGTATTATATTTTATGTTCTATCGAATAGACTCGTATACAAAATATTCACTAGCTAATGACCGTTACAATAACAAATCTTTATTATGCACTCTAGCGACACAGAGACCGTAAATCCTTTAGTAGCTGGATTTGAAGATGATTTATCATCTGCGGAGGAGATGCCAGTTTCTGTTCAACCAAAATTAGTCGAAAATCCTCTCTGTAGGCAAAGGCATAAGCGTGGAGATAATTCCTCGGGGGCTGAATCAAATATAGCGATGCGGCAACAAATTACAAAACGTGATTCTGCATCATCCATAGAACAAGAATTACAGCTTTCTAATAAATTACGCATAGGTGATCAAAATGATGGGAATTCTGATGATACCTTCGATAGTTGGCTGGAGCAAGACTGTAAATGGAGACAAAGTCCCGAAGGTGGTGAAGATGTCAGCAGTAATATTGGTACCAAAAAAGATAGACTTGAATTAAGCGATAAGAGTTTAGATGCTAGTGTAACAAGCTCTAATGTTCACCTTGAGCTATTAGATAACAGTAGTATACGACACTTGAGTTCTAATAATAGCAGCCCCATTATGAAAGAAAAAAAGAAACATAGAGATAAGGTATTATCGTCCCAAACATTACTAGACTTTATATATAATTTATATTTGTAAATTATATTACTATCCAACTATAGTCCATTTACATTTATACACATTAGTTAAATTAATTATAATTAATTTTAAATCAATAATTTAAAAAGCATGCATTATTTACAGACCGAGGACAAAGAGAAGAAGAAGAAAAAGAAATCTAAAGATAAAAATAAAGATAAAGATAAAATGGACAAATTGGAAAAGAAGAAGAAGCGATCGCTGGAAAAGGCCGAAAATAAAAAGCGAGATGAATTAGAGGAATTTTTAAATGGATCGAGTACACATGTTGATGGTGACGCAGTTTACGAAGCTATATAATCGTATTATTTTTCAACAAATGAAAATAAAGTAAAAAAATACTCTTTTTTTTTTATGAAAACATAAGTTAAAGATTGTCTCGGGTATATTTTTAAAGTAAAATAAATTTACAAATCGTTGATCTCTTATGAAAGACTACCTATTATTAAAGCATTTAATTAAAATTTATAATAAATCTATCTATCTATCTATCTATATATATATATTAATTTCACGTATAATTTTATAATTTTTCTTCTCTGTTTTATTTATTTTTTTTTTTTTATTTACATATTAAAATCTTAAGAAAATAATTAATGATATTGTATTTAATACTTTTAATACAATAAAATATTGTAAAACTTCATTTCCAAAAAAATATTTTAAAGTAATTATACTGCAAAATATCTATTACATTGCATGTTTAGGACATAACGTATAAAATTTTATTGTTATATATCTGAGTAATTATTATTTATGTATGTATATATATAATACAAGTGTTCAACTTCATTACGGTCCAATAATAATAAAAATACATTAATTACTTTTCATATCTCCTAATTATTTTTCTTTTTCATTTCTAATACTCCGCAAAAACCACTATTTACATATATTCTATTTAAAAGTCTATACTTAATATTTATATTTTATTAATAAAATCCATCGTTGGATTAATTGTTCCGAAAGAAAAAGAGAAATATTACGTTTAAAATATCAATGATAAAACATTACATTTCAAACATATGTGAAACTACAATAAAGAGGATCGATTCATTAAGAAAAATGATTTAATAAAGAAGAATTTTAAATCAATAATTTTTTAACTTTAACGATACTGTCATATAACACAGTTTTCAATATATTATTTATAAAAAAGAGAAA